TTATATTCAATAAAAAATCGACGGTATATATCGGGATCGGACGTGAACGTAGTTATGCTAGTGTAATTGTGCGTTAAACGTTAAATCGGGGAGTAATCGTCAGTTCACCTTTGCGCGTGTGAGGTTCCGTCGGACGTCGGAGATTCTTCTTCGCCCGTGAAATTACATGGATCTCATTTTAGGAATAGAACTTCTTGGTTCTTACTTTTCAAATATATGAGCTATCATGTAAGTAAAATTATACTGTAAAGTTTTGCCTTCCACACTGGTTAGTCTCAAGTTTTCTCGAAGAAAACATAATAATCATTGCGCGAATCTTTGTTTTCATTGCGCGTAACACTCAGGAACGATCGCTACAATCTTATATCATTAATCCGCTAAATCTACGTGTAATTCATCAACGATTGTTGAGGCATTTATTGATATCTAGTATGTATGGTACGCGATTTAATGCCGTGCCGGTTTTAGCACTACCACTACGGCGCCCCTAACTGCAACTCAAACACATAGAAAAAAACCGGGCAAGTGCGAGTCGGCGCCCCTTAAAGTCCGGCGCCCCTGGGCGGTCGATCAACCACGCCATGCACTAACGCCGGTACTGCGCAACGAGTACAAGCGCGTATACACACAACTATCCATATACGCACTTGTACTTGTTGCGCTAGGTTATGTAGTTTTTTTTGTAATAACACGTGAACGCGGTCTAATTATAAGTCCGGAATAATTTCATTAGATGCGGAATTTAAATCTGTATCACCCTGTATCGAAATTTATTGCTAGAAAGAATTTTTTACACTTGAGTTATATTGATAGTTGTGTGTATACGCACTTATACTCGTTGCGCTTGGGTATGTAGTTTTTTTGTAATAACACGTGAACGCGGTCTAATTCTAAGTCCGGAGTAACTTCATTAGATTCGGAATTTAAATCTGTATCACCCTGTATCGAAATTTATTGCTAGAAAATTTTTTTACGCGAGTTATATTGATAGTTGTGTGTATACGCACTTATACTCGTTGCGCTTGGGTATGTAGTTTTTTTGTAATAACACGTGAACGCGGTCTAATTCTAAGACCGGAGTAACTTCATTAGATGCGGAATTTAAATCTGTATCACCCTGTATCGAGGTGAAATGCTAGAAATTTTTTTTTTTACGCGAGTTATGGTAGTAGTTGTGTGTATACGCACTTTTACTCGTTGCGCGCTGGTTATGTAGTTTTTTAGGTATGGCACCACGTAGACGCGGTCCTAATTCTAAGTCCGGAATAATTTCATTAGATGCGGAATTTATATCTGTATCACCCTGTATCGAAATTTATTGATCGAAAATTTTTTTACGCGAGTTATATTGATAGTTGTGTGTATACGCACTTTTACTCGTTGCGCTAGGGTATGTAGTTTTTTGGTAATAACACGTGAACGCGGTCTAATTCTAAGTCCGGAATTATTTCATTTGATGCAGATTCCCCGTCTGTATCTCCCTTATATTGAGGGAATTTATTGCTAGAAAGTTTTTACGCGAGTTATATTGATAGTTGTGTGTATACGCACTTTTACTCGTTGCGCTAGGGTGTATGTAGTTTTTTTGTAATAACACGTGAACGCGGTCTAATTCTAAGTCCGGAATTATTTCATTTGATGCGGAATTTAAATCTGTATCTCCCTATATTGAAATTTATTGCTAGAAAATTTTTTTACGCGAGTTATATTGATAGTTGTGTGTATACGCACTTATACTCGTTGCGCTAGGGTATGTAGTTTTTTTGTAATAACACGTGAACGCGGTCTAATTCTAAGTCCGGAATAATTTTATTAGATGCGGAATTTAATTCTGTATCTCCCTGTATTAAAATTTATTGTTAGAAAATTTTTTAACGCGAGTTATATTGATAGTTGTGTGTATACGCATTTGTACTCGTTGCGCTAGGGTATGTAGTATTCTTGTTTTAACACGTGAACGCGGTCTAATTCTAAGTGGGGAATAATTTTATTAGATGCGGAATTTAATTCTGTATCTCCCTGTATTGAAATTTATTGCTAGAAAATTCTGTAACGCGAGTTATATTATTCATTATTTATTGTGTTGTTAGTTGCATTTCTTTATCGCGTAGAGTAACTATTTTAGACGTATTGCGGCGGTGATGATGCATCTGCAGTCTATGTTCCTTATAATATACGTAAATATTCAATGCATACTATGTAGGGTGTTCTAGCGGCATCTTACACTGTTACTATCTGTGTTTTATAAACAAACAAGTTTTTTTGATATCTTCAACTTTATTGTGCTGTCGCCACATTCTCACGGCACACGCGGTCGGCTTGTAAACGGTGTTAGTCTAATTTTGATCGTCCGGTGAACTGTGCGTTCGTGAACAGCTGGATTTCTTAATTTTTCTTTGCGTTATTATGTAATATTCCTGGTATTGTTCTGTATTTGAGTCTGTTCGATTGCACGAGGGTGATGTGCGGTGTTTTACATTAAACGCGGGTAGTATATTTGCAAAGATTACGTGTGATTGATGTACGAGTACCGTCGGCCGTCGGATACTCTTCGATTATATTCATTTAATGTAAAAAGTCGTTATGAACTACATTTTGAATTTAATCAGTTTCGTACTCTAGTATTAACGCGTGTTTCCTGTAATGTGCATAATTAATATGCCTATAAGTATTGGATACTTCAAAAGCGAAAAATTTATTTTGCACCAAGGTATGTTTTCATATTTTTGTAAAGATTTTTGATTAATTTCATGAAACGCCCGACAAACCTTGCATGATTTTAACTACAAAAATAAATGTTTTCTTTACTTCAACATTTATCACAATGTATTATTCTAATCATAGACCAGTTAATAATTTATTTTGTTTATAATTCTTCTTTCTAATTCTAGTTTCATATTTAAAATTGATTGATATATTGTTGTATTAATTTTGTCTTTTATCGCGTTGAATGTACACATTAGAATACTCGTTGTACAAGATTGTCGTCTGCCGTCGGCTGCTTACTTCGGCTCTCGCTGCAGGATGCAACATGTACGAGTACGTGATGTTTATATCTCATACTCGTATGTTGCATCTCATATTCATATTTGCAATTTGCAATCGATTTATAAATTGCTCTATAAATTATGTTTTTCATCCCGTTTAACACATTAATTGTTGAAGTTTGTCGCGTGCCGTCGGATGCGTTTCTGTGCCCTCGCTGCAACCTACGACTTGTAACGGTGCACCAGCGCTCACTGATTTACTTATTGCAAATAAAATTATTTGAGTATAATTTTTTATATCATTTTAACCATTTTACTTTTTCCTATTATCAAAGGAAAAATGAGATTTCATCATGAGTATTTCTGTTTTTTTTGTAATGTATTTCGTTTTAAAATGTAATTGTTTTTCTTCTCAACATCTTGCATTATCCTTTTAACTGTATTGTTTTTTTTAGCCGTTGTCCCTGGAAATTAAAATATTTGTTTTCCTTTTTGAGGATTCACCTGTATATAAATTTTCCTTGTAGCAATGCTTCGGTGAAAATCCGATAAAAAGTAATATTTTCTCTTGTCTTCTTCCTTGAACTTTTGATTTTCTTTCAGTAACACCCAGTATATTAGTTTCCCGTGGTGCTTTTCAAGAAGTCATCAAGATCTGTGTTTTCAAGTTTGTACTGTACATTTGCTGTTCAACTATAATAATAATTTTCTTTTTCCTAACACCCTGTACATTAGTTTTCCATTTGTATTTATGCGAAAATGGTCTAATATATGTTTTCCCCCTTGTAGTTTGAGTTTTGTTTTTAAATATTATAATATTCTTTTTGTAACACCCTGTATATTAGTTTTCCAGGCATTGGCTGAAAACCCAGAGATATTTGTTGTGCTTAAATGTTTTTCTGTTTCCATTTTAAATTTTCATTTTGTAACACCCTGTATATTTGTTTCCACTGACGTAGAAAATGGGCTATTTGCTAATTTGTTTATCCCACTTACTTTATGAAGTGGTACTTGCTACATTTTAGCTGGCGTTAGATGTGCCCGGCTAAGAAGGTCGTAAGTTCTGTTCCAATATGGCGGCACGAATTCCGTTGACTTGTAAAATCAAAACTTGTATTTTATTGTTAATAAAGAAATAGAAAGATATATTGACTACTTTCATTTATGTGTTTGCCTTCTATCATTTCAGGTAGAGGTCTCTAAGAGAGAGTTCCCTCTCTCAGGGGATGATCCCCTCTATAAAAATTGTTAAGGTATCCTGTATGATTTGTGTACTCCATCTTTCATTTCAGCTACAGGTCAGAACTTGTAAGAATATTTTTAAGTGTCCCCTCTCTTGAGGCGACTTAAAAATTAGAAATATTTTTACAAGTCTTTAAAAGGATGTCCTTATAAGGAGTTCCCTCTCTCTGGGGATGATCCCCCACCATAAAAATTGTTGATATGCCTGATAATTTCGGGGATGAAGCGCAGAGACATCGCAGCTGTAGGATGGGCCGGGAGCAATGGAAGAATCGAAGCAGTGGACCGTAGACTGTCTTATAACGACACGTGCCAAAAAATTTAAAAATCTGATCCTCCCCTGTTCTCTTTCTTCTATCTCCTCCTCTTCTCTACTCTGTTTTCTCTTCCTTTCTTCTCTCCTTTTTCCCTGTTCTCGTTTCTATATTTACTTTCTTACTTCTCTTATTGCCTTCACTTGTATTTCAATTTCTCTTATATTTCGTTGCATATCATATATGCAACCCAAATTACACCTGATATTTTTATATTTGAGAAAAACGCCTCCTATACCTGAGACTCGATCCGTGTCTGCTAGCATGCCAGCAGGTGCACGTCTCCACTCGACCACCGAGTGTTTTATCATTGTTATTTGATTCTTCTATTTATGTTTCTACATTTATCATGTTTTTAAAAACAACAACACAGTTCAAGCAACAGTTATGTTATTATGTTATTATGTGATTATGTTATTAGCGGCAAAGAGGGTACCAAATAGAAATGTGAATAATATTATAAATGTAATAAGTGTTTTATTAATAACTTTTAAAAATACATACAAGTAAACATTCGCAAAAATAAAACGCGTGTACACAAGAGCATCATTTTGACCCACCGCGTCATATCGCTCTGTGCCGAGGTTGCTGGCCCGTCACATAAGATAATAAAACATAACAAAACATTTCATTAAATATTTTTCTTCAAATATGATTTACCTTATTTATTGTTCGTTTAAATAATTCTCCCCCTGAAACATAAGAAAACGCGGTATAATAATAGAATTGAACTCATTACTACAAGAATGACCCTACTGCGATATCCTGTTCAATTTCTAGCGCTCTAAAACAAGAAAAATCAGTGTCTCAAAATACAAAAATGCAATTTTGACGGCTTTCCCGTGAGAAAATTGCAAAACTAGGTCATAGAGACGATACAGAATTACAATACATACACTTTGAAGTAAAAATGGCCCGCCTGCGAGTTTCCGTTGAATTTCTACAGCCCTAAAACAAGAAAAACCAGTGTCTCAAAATACAAAAATGCAATTTTGACGGCTTTCCCGTGAGAAAATTGCAAAACTAGGTCATAGAGATGATACAGAATTACAATACTTACAATCTGATGTAAAAAATGGCCCTCCTGTGAGTTCCCGTTCAATTTCTACAGCCCTTAAACAAGATAAATCAGTGCCTTAAGACATAAAAATGACAACTGTAATGTTTTGTAAATACAAAACTACTTACGATTTGGCGCAAGAATGACTCTCCTACAAGGTCCCGTTCAATTTCTTGGGGCATTTATAAACTAAGAAAGTGACCTGTTGTTGCAACGTGCAACGTGCGTTGAAATTCCTGCAGAGACTCTATTTGGGCTGTGATTTTAAACTATTCCGACAGAAGTTTGGGTTTGCACACTTATCGTAAAGAGCAACACTATCACTATTTAAATTTATATATATAATGAAGCCAATAATGAGAATGTTGAATATAACTTAATGTACAACAAGCGATGCGTACTGGCCGGCGATCAGAACCAAACTAGTTTCAAAACATGTGCGCTGTTGTTTACATAGTGCAAAATACTGATAAGCGCCTCTACACTTAACTGTATTATGGTGCAAAATACAAATGTTACAATAATATTGCAAATAGGTCCTAAACGATCCACGTTATAAACAAATGTTATTTAAATATTTAGTGTAGAAGCAAGTTACCTATCAGAATCCGGAAACAGAATTTAAAAATTCCAACTTTTAATTTTGTATATAAAAAAGAAAAATCTTTTGCCTTTTTTATAACAAAATCTTTTCTTCAAATTTTTTATACAAATATTTTCATTTTACAAGATATCGACCATCTTGTTAAGAATTCTTGAAGGATCAAGGATATGAAGTTCTTTCTTTCATAGCCCGTTTAGTTGTAGTGATAATTACCATTTAATCTTATAAACTTACCTATGGTGGAGGCGCACCTCGGACCATTTCAACATGAAAATATTTATGAAATAAGTTCGACCCTGTTCTTCGGCAGATAATAATTTCATTAAAAAAAGTTCGACCCTGTCTTTCGCACTTTTCTTGCTACCAATCAAAACTAAAAATAAATTATTTTCAAATTCGTGTTTGTTATCTTTATCTTCACTTAAATAATAAATGAAAATGGTCAAAGGGAGTAAAATAATAGAACATATAGGGTGTTTTCAATATAAAATTTAAATATTTCTGAAAAAAAAAATTTAAAAAACAGCCCAGAATAATTCTTTATACATTTCTTCATTTATTGATTTGACTGCACCGCCATCCGGCCTTATAATTTGCAACATTTTAACAACAATGGCACACTGTACAATTAATATGTAAAATAAAATATGTACACATCTCAAGTTTACGCTCGCCTACAATCAAAGCATCTCATTCAAATTTCTCACTCGCTGACTTCCACCCCATTGCATACAATGTACGTCTCCTAACTTAATACAACATCACATAAACAAGCTACTCGTTTGTTTATGCGTTTGAAGGCACTTTAAAGTTATCATTAACTAAGATTAAACATAGACTTGTAGCTGATTACGATGCCAGATCTCTTCACATCAACATCATCCTCTTAAGTGCTAAACAATTTTTTGATTTCATTGAATATCTAATGCCTCATCCAAGCAAGACACTCATTTGCGCAACAACTATTCAACTGTTTATTTTTTCTGTTATGAATCTGCTGTATAACATGATCATTTTTTTTAATTCCTTACGAATGATATGGTGGGTGGTGTGGCCAACGGCAGCAAAGACTATACAATAATAATTACAATATTTAATACAATCGATCGTGATTCGCTCTCTCGCTCGCTATCTAAACGTAATTAATTAAAAAAAAGTCGATGAGACCAACTTCGATAACTCTCGCCCTCTCGATTCATCACATAAATTACACAAGAAACAACCGCGACCGCAAACAACCGTCAACAATGTATGTAATAAAATTAATAATGACTTCGATAATGACAACGACAATTGGCTGTACAAGTACAAGAACACACAAATCGCTGCCATAACAATTTCTAAGTATTTTTCATTTCTTCGTTTTTGATTTCATTTGCATGAGGTATGTCACGTTTCTTGCATAATTGTTATTGACACATGTAAATTGGGATCAAAAGACTTGTTTGGAGGGAAGTGTTTGTGTGAGTGTGTGTTTATGTGTGTATGTCGCTCATTCCATTTTACTTCACTGTATCACAGCCAAGAATTCACATGGAAATTAAATTTGTAGGTTTATAATTTGAAAAGTCGAGCACGGTATGACATATCGTTCGTTTACATCAAGCAGCATTCAAAATCTTTCGCTTTTCGTTTGTCTGATGAGTCGTGCAAGTATGAAAATATGCGTACGATAAAATACAGATCTTTGTGAAGTGGTATTTGTTTGCTTGTGTTTTCTGTTAGGTTCGCTATTGTCGTTTTAAACATTTAAAAGCAGTTCTATCACACGGGTCCCTTGAGATCGATGGCGGCACTCGCGTGCATCGCGAATGCCAACCGACTCCATACGTATTACACCTTAAACGTTAAAATAATAATTGTTCGTGTTTCGAATGTATCACTCGTCAAAACCCATTGCCCCGACGAATTCGTTCGTTACACCTTCGCATTCACAATTTGCTCCGTCCCCTGCGTTTATATGCATATAATATGTTAATATCATTTCTGTATCATTACTACCTATTATCCTTTTAGTTTCTAGATGTGTGTGGGTGCAGAAATTTTGCACGTGCGCAAAACTCGTCATACTATTGTCATGTAATGATATACGTATCGCATCCAGTAATAATTTGTTATAAATGTTTTATCATTGCACTTAGAAGTTACCGAGTACCGGGTAACAAAGCCTACGGATGCGATTTGATGGTACCATGATGATGCAGCTACGACAGCGTATGTACAATTGTTCGAGTTTCAAACTCGCAAAACGTAAAACATTTTTGTTTCATTCTGAATATTTCGGCAGGGTAAAGTGTGTCGAGCGTGCATCAATATGCGCATATCTTTGCCTAGCGAATACTCTGGGTTAGAACGGTTAGAAATCATAATCCTACGCGATAAGTGTTTGCCTAATTCGTAATTAATCCACGCGCATCCGTCTAGCGGCGTGCTGCTGTTGCTGCTCGTCCTCATCACAGATCTGGTCAGGCGCGGACCACCGCCGCTTCCGCATGCTATCGGGTGACATGGGCGCATCATGGTGTCGCTGCGGTGGCGGCTGCGAATGCGATTGCGGCGGGGCGGACGTGTAATCGCGGCTTTTGCTGATTAAGTTATTCACTAGGTGGCTGGTGGTCGTCGAAGTGGAGGTCGGGGGCGTCGTTCGGTTGTGGGGGACGGCGGTGTGTGGATCTCGAGGTTCGCGGGGCATCAGCGAGATGAGGACGTCGCCAACCCGCAGCTGGTACACCTCGAGGCCGTAGCTCTTCAGCGTCTTTTCCACGTGGCACGAGGCCCAACCCTGGCCGTAGACGTAGAATGGATGCTCGAGGGGTGCTTCCACTTCAACCTAAAACACATAATATACAACTTTAGCAAAAAATTATGATGTATAATTTCACAAGATGGCCATAAACAGACCTAACCTTAATTGGAAACTATTTTAATGATTTTACGCAATAAAAGTTTTGAAATACGTGAAGAATGCGCGCGCCGTAAAATTGAAAAATTTCGGTTCCGGGACCGAAAATCTGAAGGTCACGCGTCTCGAGGCGCGCACGTCGCGCTGGCGCCACTCGCGTACGTTCCTCTCAAAATTGACCTGCATATTTTACCCACACGCGCGTTTTTTCGGGCCGCGGCTTTCAAATGATATCCGTGCGCGCGCGTAACTCAAGACGCCTCGCGAGTTTCACCTGGCGGGATGACGATCAAGGTCGGTACCTTGCCTCCGGCACCACGTGGCACTACTTGTTGATAATCGTATTCACAAATTAAGCAAACCTCAACTATTGTATTCCAAACAATCAACTAAACAATAAAAAATGAATAAGTATCTATACCTGTGCTCGTCGTTCATTATAACTGAGCGTAATGGCCGCCGTGCCGGTTTTGGGATTCTCAGCAATCTTCACCACCGTACTCTCCGCCAATCGTAACTCCGGACTCATCTCCGCCGAATGCACAAAATCCTCTGTCCTCATATCCTCAACATTTCTTAGCTTACCATCCGCCAATTGAATCAATGACCCTTTCGCAAACTTCGCCGCATTGTTATTATTGGTCTTATTCGCTGGTGATCGAGGTGGTGAAACCACAGTCGCCGAAATCCTCTTCCGGGTTTCCCTCAACTGTTCGAGGGAACTCGGCGGAGCATCCTCGGGTCGTGTTAGAATGCGATGTTTAAGTGACCCTTCTTTTCCACATGGAACTTTAAAGGGAGCAGGTGATTTCTTATCGCGGATGATAGTCTGCCCCTGCGCTTTGTGTGCCGTGGGCGGCGAAAAGGCGGGCACCTGCGGTGGGAGGAAAGAACCATTTCCGGTGGGCGTCGTCGGGGAATAACTCTCTAAGGGTGAGAGCGGGGCGTAACTGGAAGGGCGGAGTAATGAGTACGGTTGATAGAGACTCGGAAACCCATGGTATGGGTTCAACATATTCGGCGGGAATACGCGCTGCGCATAGTAAGTCTGCTCGTCACTGAGGTCCTCTTTGTGGGCGGTCAGGTTAACGGGGGTGGCGGCTGATACCACTGGTTGGTGGTGTGTCATCGACCGCGCCGAGTGTGACAGGCGGGTACCATTTGATAATCCACTACTCACACCATTATACCTATAAAAATTATTTTTAAAATTTTAGAAAAAATGTTTTTTTTGTGAAAAAAATTACCTAGATGGAAGCGGTTTGGGTGCAGGACGTACAAACTCCTGCTTCTGCGCGCCCGGCCATCGTTCAGGATGGTAGGTCATCATGTAGTGTGGAATCTGTCCCTCTACGCCGGCGGAAATCATCGGCTGGCTGCCTCCGCGCCGCGGTCCTGAAAATAAACCATCGAATAAGTTAATTTACGTGGAGCGCAACCAGCGTAGCATGAATAATTCAGGCTCGTGAAAACGATAGTGACCTAGAACGCGCCGCCACGGATCGATCGAGAAACTCGTTTTCCGCTTTTCATTCAATACCTAAACCTATTGTCCTCCAAAATTCATTCAACGATAAAAAGACATAAAACAAAATCAACATAACCAAACTTCCCAAACTGCACATAACCTCATTTTTGAACTCGTATTGAGATAGGTTGCATGTGTGCACAGTTATGGCGCAGATTTCGTTTTGTTTGCGAAAGCTTACGTAACAGCACAACACGTAGCGTCGGCATTTCGCGCGGCTGTGAACGCTCGCGCGGTTGGGAAAGGTTATGAGTACGCGACGGGCACCGCCATTACTTACAACCTTCGCCTTGCACTCTACGCTGCTCGTTGGTTGTTCGCGCTCTCAGCCCACAATTCAACTAATCGACCTTGGACACAACTCGCGAAACCACGGATGGATTGCACGCAATCCACCGGCGAAACAAAACGAAGCGAGTAGCGAAAACACGAAAAAAAAAAAGCAGCACACACATATACACAACGCGGAATTCGTTAACGACTCTGCCGACTGACTGACTCCACTTATAACTGAGTTATAACTACATACAACTGTTCGTTGTGTGTGTTTTTTTTTTTTCTGCTGTTTTCGTGGTAACAGCCCGCCGAAGAATGGCGTAAAAATGTGCGAAAAAAAACCGCTATCGGCCGCGCGCGCAAGGATTATAATTGCAAATATCGTTATCGTCTTTATCGCCATTGTTCACTGAGCTAGATACACATTAAAATGCGCGCGTAAACAAATTTGGAAAACCCCCTTGACGAAAAAAGAGGACTCACCGCACTTCAATTTGCAATTTTTTAAATAAATTAAGCGCGAAAAAAAACTATAAAAGAATGAACAAAATTAGTTGGGTATCGAATAATTTGTAAATTTACATGCACGACCTTAGCACGTGCGCTTTTTTAACATTGTAAGTACTTTACTGATATTTTAATTCGTCGTCGCGATTGTTTTTGTGTCGCGTTTACAATTTATTACTATGCACGCCTACACACGACGCTCGGCAACACACGAAAAAACATTCGCATTAGTTGGCATTAGTTGAATTAGCTCGCGATATGAGCTTTCCGCACGAGATCTCACCGTTTTATTACCGCCTATCATGGAATGACTATTGATTTCATCAATAAATAAATTCACTCACACTCTGTGCGCGCGCTTGGCTTGATTTTCACTTTTTTTTATTCACGAATCAACGTCGCGCGCGACTATGTTTTTTGTTTACCAATGCGCGCGTATATTGAACTATTGAGTAATAACATTGATGGAATAATGGACGCCGTGGGCGCATGCATCCACGATTTATAGCCGAAAATGTTGTGAATGACCGGTGTATCAGAGGTGTGTACGTGACAAAATGCGCGTAAATTTTGTGCATCGGCCGATCGTTAGCCGCTAATTACCCGCAAACGCACCCAAAAACCAACACACAACTTACACGGATTTTCTAATCCGAATTCCAGCTCGACCAAAGTGCACACTCACATTCAAAGCACACACATTAAATTATTATTTAATAATTTGTAGTTCTCTAGTAGCAGTTACGCATGTAATAGACATAACACTTGCGAGAGTAAAGTGCAATAATATGCAAATGGAATTGCGAACGTTGGCGAAATCACACAATCAGACACGCCAACGTTATAATTATCATACAGCGAGTGGACACGCTCGTGCGAGTCATAAACATTACTAGCGCATAAAATATCAACACAAAGAAGGCTTAAATTATGTATAAATTGTTTACATGATCGGTTTAATACGAATTTTAGGCAAAATAAACGTAATTCGCATGTTTATTGTAAATATTTGATGATTTAGACTTATACCGCAAGTCAAAGCATAGGAAATTTACTGGATTGCGTCGAGCATGACCTAGGCAACTTTCATAACGCAAAGAAGTCAATTACAACTGCAATAGAATCAACATAAAATTAAAATAAACACAAAAAAGGTCTATAGGTCCATTTTAGTCAAAATTTCAGAAAAAAACAACGTAATTCCTCCGTTAATAAAAAAATTCAACCGTCAAAGCATTAGAATCCATAAAATGCAATGGGGCACAACCTAGGCAACTTTTATAACACAGAAAAGAATAAATTACAGCCGCCATCTAGCGTTAAACACAATTAAACTGCAGTAAAAACAGCAAAAAATAAAAATAATACACAAAAAATGTTTAAACAATACATAAATTGTTTATATGATCGCACTAGCTCCATTTTAACACAAAATTTAATGAAAAACAAACGAAATTCCCTTCTAATATTAAAATTTTACCGTTTTGCACTTATACCGCAACTCAAACCATTAAAAAACTCAATTTTTACATAGAATGCCTCGAGCATGACCTAGGCAACTTTCCTAACACAACAAAAGAATAAATTACCGCCGCCATCTATCGCTGCCCTCAATTACAAATGCAACACACAACCAGCTGTGAAATAATCATTCACTTACGTAAACATTACAAAGTTGCAAGTAGTAAAAATGCCAATTTTCTAAACCTATGCACTAATAAACATGTTTAACGAGTCTGCGCGAATGAAACATATCATTACCTGTGACATTTGCGCCAAAGTTATTCGCTTGAATGATTCGCGCATGCATAATTCATGAATTGCTATACTAATTACATAAAAATACAAATAAAACATTTAAATTTGGTAAATATTTTATTCACGGGGCGGTGCGGACAACACGTGCGACCTTGACACTGACCCGCCTCACGTCAAGGCCGCACCCTGCCACCCCCGGGTGAATATTAACGCTGAAACGATTCGATTTTCATTTCCTCTGACCCTGAAAATAACCACCACAAGTATTATTTATGAATACGCTCTGTGTTCAGCGTTAATCAAAATGTTTCATTGCTTTTCATTAGCTATTGATATTTATGGAGAGTCATTGTCATTCGTTTCTGTTTCAGCTGGTTTAATTCCGTCCGGAGCAGCGCGCGAGAGTTGAATTCGTGTGGCCGTGCTTCAATTGAAACGAATTGATATTAATAAACGTGCATACTCGAGCATCAATTATTATGTGGTTGTTGCCACCAGAGTCAATGTTAGTCACGCACGTAATATTACACAAAAGCGTGATGAATTGAAGCAGATAAATGAAAATATAAAAAAATTTTCTCGAATTTTCCCCAAATTACGTCATCACGTCGAAAAAATTTCCCTTTTTATGACACTCTGGATATCTTTGCACATCCCAAGCTGTCAGTCATACACAGAGGACCACGTGCCGCATTTCATTCTCAATCCTGCGGGTCGTAAACTGCTTGTGCCAGTGCCATTCAGCACTTCACCCTCACGCGCTGCTCTGACGCTCGTTCTGGAATTACGCCTCGCCGGGACTATTGTACGCGCGCGTGGGCGGCAGCGCAGCGGCGGCGGCGGTCGGGATGAATGGGCCCGCCCGCCGCCTTCGCGCCCGCTGCATTGATTTTGTGCCTTGCCAAGGTCGGGGATACGGGGCACGGTTTGGGAGTGCCGTGAGAGAGTGTAGCGTACGCGGAGGCAGCGGCGGCGGTTGCCAACAAACGCGCGAGCGCACACCCGACGACCCATTCACTAACACTCCGCAGCGCGGCGAGTGTAATAGATTCCGACGAATATTACACTCTATTACACACTAATATTTTTCGCTCGCGCGCGGCTGGTTGGTTTAAATGTTTTCTGATACTGAAATGCAACATTTCTTACATCACGAGTGCCTGACGTCCTTACACGTACGCGGTGGACTCGTATACATCCTGGCGTGTCCCGCGCAAGCAGGGTTTTGATGTCTATTTATATAACTACAGCGCGCAGGAAGTTGGAAGTTTTACCAGCGCCTGCTGTTTTTTTTTTCTGTGCGCTTGTGATAAATAAGCGGCTTGCGTACGCGCCGGTATGGATTTATGACCGTGAACATGACACGTGCTATAAATACTACACCTAAACCACAACTAGCTAATCATACTTAAAATCACTCAATTTAAACAAAGCATGGAAATAATAATCATGAAAGGTGGTACAGATAGTCAACAACAAGTCGAGAAAGTCGAATATTTTGTTATTTTTAAAGTCGGTGAAAAATCGGCAAAAATCATTGAATTTTCGCTTAATTATTATACGAAAAAAATATTAAATTCATTAATAAATACTTCATTTAACGATAAACTCTGTAAAATGAGAAAATATGCATAATAATGTTGATTTATGTTAATTTCTTCGTAAAATATTATAGTTTCTCTGTGTGACGACGAAACATATTTTAATTTCTAGCAATTATAAGCTAGAATATTTTTTTAAAGACATGACATCGATGGTAACATTTGAAATATTGTTGTAATTATGATCCCAACATCCCTACAAATTGCAATGCAAATTTCTATAACTTAAGCACGATTTTTCAGCTAATTTGTTGGGGTGCACGTTGCGTTACTAGAAAATCATTTAAACATAACACAAGTGAATACAACTGAGCGACGCGGAATTTGCATTTAGATTTCAGGAAATATTTACCGGTATTTTACAAGAAATAATTGAGTTTATAACCAGCTTACAAAAGATTAAACAGATACCAATCCACGTAAAATCTCAATATTATGTTATTTTTGTTCCCTCGATGAAACGCCATCTCGCTATAACCTCCACTATAATTTGAATGCATAAAAGTTGCATCACTTGTCCAAAAATTAATAAAAACTAAGTTTTTTGATAAAATAATTCGGAATACGATGTAATGACACCTCGCTACAACGTGATAAAATGTATAACTCATGTTACACTGAATTTGATATTGTAATTGATATGATATCAACAAAATCAAACAAAAATCAAAAAATACCAAAAACACAATAAAAATAAAAATTATCAAATCCGACACATCTCCACT